CTAGGGTTTAGGGTTTAGGGTTTAGGGTTTAGGGTTTAGGGTTTAGGGTTTAGGGTTTGTGTTGCAGGGAGAAAGCTAGCCGGCGGCGTTCTGTATCTCCTTCTTTGGGGGGCAGCATCAGCAGCGAGAGTCTCCACTCCCGCAGCAGGTCCAGCAGCGCGAGTCTAGAGAGAAAACTAGAAGCAAGGTCTGCTGCTGCTGCTGCTGCTGCTGCTGCTGCTGCTGCTGCTGTTGCTGCTGCTGCTGTGGTGGTGGTGGCGGTGGTGGTGGTGGTGCAGTTGCTGTTGCTGTGGACGTTTAATACAAATGCTGGTTTTGCTGCTGCAGTGACTGCTGCTGCTGCTGTTGCTGCTGCTGCTGCTGTTGCTGTTTCTGCTGCTGTTGCTGCTGCTGCTGCTGCTGCTGCATTTCCTCCTCCTGCTTTATTTCCAACTGCTGCTTCTGCTGTTCTTTCTGCTGCTGCTGCTGCTTCTGCTGCTGCTGCTTCTGCTGCTGCTGCTGCTGCTCTTTCTGCTGCTGCTGCTGCTGCTGCTGCTGCTGCTGGTAACAGAGAGAAGGACCGGCGGCAGATGTCTCCCGAGAGGCCGCAGCAAAAAGGAGACAGAATAAGAATCAGCAACAACTGGATTGCTGCGGAGATGGGGCTAGCTGACGATGGCAGCTTCGCTGGTAAACCCTAAACCCTAAACCCTAAACCCTCAACCCTAAACCCTAGACAATAGGAACCCTTCGTACGGGCCGTAGAAAACACTAAGTAAAGCCTTTGTAAACCCTAGTAAACCCTAATACACACTAAACCCTAATAAACCCTAATAAACCCTAATAAACCATAATACACCCTAAACCCTAAACACGCATAAACCCTAGTAAACCCTAATAAGACCCCTCTAAACCACCTTGGAGCGCGGCCGACTGCTGCTGCAATCTCTCTGCAGCAGCAGCAGCAGCAGCAGCAGCAGCAGATGCGTTGGCAGCAGCATCAACAGCCCCCCAACCCTAAACCCTAAACCCTAAACCCCCAAAAAAATAAAAAATAAAAAACATTGTATTATATTTTCTTCTCTCAGGCCCCCGCACAAACCTCCGTCTAGGGTTAGGAGCGACAGCAGAAACCACCAGAAAACCACCAGCACCAGTGGACCTCTCAGACCCTTACGAGCGGTTTAGACACCAACGGGCTGGCAGATACCATGAAGTCATGGCTGCGCAGTATGCGAGGGTTTAGGGTTTAGGGTTTAGGGTTTAGGGTTTAGGGGTTGGGGGTTGGGGTTAGGGTTTGGGGGTTGGGGTTAGGGTTTGGGGTTTAGAGAAGGGGTATGGAAGGGATGAGAAGTTAGAAGGGTTTTTGAGGGTGAGGGTTTAGGGTTTAGGGTTTAGGGTTTAGGGTTTAGGGTTTAGGATATGCGGTGTGTATGTACACCTCAGTAAAGCGGAGAGGAGAGAGATGGGGAGGGGAGACAGAAACTGCTACGTTTGCGGCAAGGTACCTAAACCCTAAACCCTAAACCCTAAACCCTAATTTTTGTTTGGTTTGATTCAAGCCATTGGCCGAGTTAGTAGTGGCAGTGGCGGTCCTGCTGCTGCTGCTGCTGCTGCTGATGCTGGTGCTGGTGCTGCTCGTTTTCTTTTGCTGCTTGTTTGCTGCTGCTGCTGCTGCTTTTCATTCGCTGCTGCTGCTGCTGCTGCTGCTGCTGCTGCTGCAGGTGGGACACCTGGCACGGGACTGCAGCAACAAATCGCGGCCGTGAAATGTTTAAACGCAGAGCAGCAGCAGCAGCAGCAGCAGCTGTTGCTGCTGCTGCTGCTGTTGCTGCTGCTGCTGCAGCGGGGGGAGTTGTAGTAGCAGCAGCAGCTGTTGCTGCTGCTGCAGGGACAGTAGTAGTAGTAGTAGTAGCAGCAGCAGCAGCAACAGCTGTTGCTGCTACTGCACTTGTAGTACTAGTAGCAGCAGCAGCAGTAGTAGCTGTTGCTGCTGCTGCAAGAGTAGCAGCAGCAGCAATCGCCTCTTGTCCGTGAGGGTTTTGTACTGTCTTAAACCCCTAAACCCGAATATAACGANAGCAGCAGCAATCGCCTCTTGTCCGTGAGGGTTTTGTACTGTCTTAAACCCCTAAACCCGAATATAACGACTGCGATAAACCCTAAACCCTAAACCCTAAACAAACCCTAAACCCTAAACCCTCATAAACTCGAAATCCCGATTGAGCGCAAACCCTAAACCCTAAACCCTAAACCCGAGGATGTGTAGCGGGCCTGCAAGCCCTAGGCAAACGCTAAACCCTAATCTCTAAGCAAACCCTAAACCCTAAACCCTAGGTAAACCCTAAACCCTAGGGCGTGATAGAAACCCTTGAGGTGTTTCAGGGTTTAAACCCTAAACCCTAAACCCTTGCGACGCGTGCATACATGGCTGGTGGTGAGCCTGTTGAGGGTTTGAAGGGTTTAGGGTTTAGGGTTTAGGGTTTAGGGTTTAGGGTTTATACAAATATAATAATAAGTATTAAGGGCCCCAGCGGAGAAGGGTTTAGGGTTTATCGCTAGAAGAAACAAAATATGTTTCTCTGTTGTTTGTTTGTTTTTATAATATTTTAATCATAAGCCAAATAACACAAGACAACAGCAGCAGCAGCAGACAGCAGCAGCAGCAGCAGCAGCAGCAGCAGCAGCAGTAGTAGTAGTAGGGGGGCTGCGATATTTAGTGATTTGTTTATTTAGGAAATTTAATTTATTATTTTTAATTATTAATAATTAATAAAGAAGAAATAAAAGAAGACGCATGCAGATA